AATACATTTGCCTTCTTCCCACAGCTACCACCTTGCATTAGTATTAGGTGATTGCACTGGAATAAAAAGCAAAAGCTTTCAGTGTCATACAGGAAGGAATGCTAGGGCTGAACGTACTCTTACTCCAGAAGAAAAAGCCAATCCACGTTCCGTTCCAATCCACAGCTCTTCCAAGTGTATCGTAACTTTCCCACTGACACCAGCAGGCCCCAGCAGAGGAGCTTCAGATTAAAATCTTGTAAATAGAACAGAACAGCAACCAATGACTTCAGTAGTCTTGCAACACAGATTCTGTAAGAATGTTATTAGGACTAAACCTTTGACCCAATGAAAGCAGTCAGCATGAATTCGACCAGTGAATCCAAGTAAATGCAGTAGCAATTAACTATTACAAAGATGTAAATTATGGAAAGCTATTGGTTATGTTCCTGGATTTTAAAAGAACTAAAAGTTCTAGCAGAAGTGATACCCGACACCAAATTTTTTACATCTGGCACCTAAGTGTTAAAAAATCTCTTTATAAATTTTCCTCTGTGTGAACAAAAATCTTTTCTCCTAAAGAGTTCAACATTTGTCTTCCTGTTACTACCAAGTCACAGACGCAATTACACCCAGGCAAAAGGAGAAGCCCAGTATCTTTTGGATAAATCAGTTGTTTTGGGGCGAAGGGGATCTCAACAGCGGGGGTTTTGGTTTTTAGGGTTTTTTTTTTCCCCAAGAGTGTTAAACTACTTTGCTGCATTTTGTTCAAATGCACTGGAACATGTGCACTTTTTTCCCCAGTCACTATAAAGACGATCTTCTGATGTGCTGGAGGTCACCACAATTTTATAGACCACCTACTGAGAAACACTGTCCTGGCCTGCACACACACTGGCTGAACCCAGCTGGCAACTTTATCAGAACATGATAGTACCCACCACTCCTCTCTCAGGTTTTTTAATTCTGCTTCAAACACTGAGCTAGTTAAGTCAGAGGCGTGCATAAATCAAGTGACACCAATAAAGTTCATGCTAACACTGTAATGACTCAACCTTTGCTAAAACATACAGTGATAAGCAAGGCTTTAATCTCCAGGGATGGAATGACTCAGTTTCAGGAACAACTCACCTAATTAACCAGGACATGATTTCAACCATTTCACATGTAATATTGCAAGTCTACTGCAGGAAATAACAAATACACCAGCTTTTAATTTCTATATTCTGACCAGCACCTGGATTTCAATGAAAATCACAAGCATTCAAACTGATGTAAGTGCCATGACTTCACAAGACCTCTTCCTCCTTTTAATTTATATCCATGAACCAGGAGGTCTGCCAGACTCTCCACTCCTAGCATAATGCAGATGTTTAATTGCAGCATTAAAGGAATACAAGCTTAATCCCACACATGAAGCTAAAGGTTCTGAAGAGAAAAACTTTCAAATTTTAATAAATCCTGAGTTAAAAGATGCTTATAATTATAGAAGGTCTAAAGAAATGAATGTGCTTATTTTCATGCCCTTGTTTCATCACTTCTGTTACTCCACTTCTCTTCAGGGCGCCAGAAGAGGGTAGCCCATTGCTGCTTTTGTTGCCTGAAGTTTCTGCAGAAACATCAGCTTGCTGACACAAGGTTCATGCATGAGATTTGCACTGAACACACTTACAGGATTGATTTTTGGTTTAAATACTGAAGACAGGCATCAAATGTTTCTGCAGAACTATGCGGGACAGTAAGGTTCCCAGCCTAGTTTCATTACCACAGGAACATCTGCCTGAGCTCTGGGCACAGACACTCCTTTGGTCTGCGAGTTCAGTTCTTGTTTTCTGCAGAAGTCAGATTTGTAGTGTGGGGATTCTCTGACTTAGAGGACTTTGATGATTTTTTTTTGTTAGATTTTATGCTTTCAGTTCCATTTTACAAAATAAGAAGGACAAAAAAGTCTTTGGCTTTTCAAAAAACCCTGCCCTAGCCAGGTAAGAAAATCTGCAATGCTTTTCAGTAATATTGAGGCTGTACTAGCAGTGACTCTGCAGTGACTCTGTAGATCTAACATCTACGTTTAATTTTGTGCTAGTGTTTCTAATAGCGCTTTTCTAAACAATTATCCATTTTGGCTGCAAAAGTCTTTTGAAATAGCATGTGAAAAACCCCTCAGGTTAAGACTCTGAAACAAACAATGTTTTGAAAACCCGAGGAAGATAATTTCCATTCAATGTTTTCCTGAGAATACTGCATGTACTATTCAATTGCCCTGCTCCATTTTATTCTATTTCCCTGGTCTTTTTTCAAAAGAACTGTACAACAATACATTTTTACAAGTGAATCTCAGCTCTTCCCAAGGCTGAATTGCATCTTACAACCTAGAGAATGATTTGGTTTATTAACTTGCAGTGCCACCTAGCAAGCATCCTTAAAATTATTTTTCCTGATGTAGTTTTACAAAGGACATCTTAGATCTTTCATATTTAAAAAAAAAAAAAAGACAAACTTGTGCTTGCAGTATTTTAAGCATCTAGTGCACACTTTTGCTTTGAAAAGATAAATTTCTATTAGAAATTTTACTTCCTAATAGGATAATAATACAGATGCTCACATACCTAAAATTCTGGTATATGAACATTGAGAACTAGTTTTGGACACATCCCTCATACATTTGTCTACAAATAGTTCCATTAATTGTTGAGGGATTTTTTTAAAAGCATAAACTTTGACAGTAGATCAGTGCTTAATTTATTGGAATTCTGAGATGAGAGACTCCTGCCACTAAAATAAGGAGAATTTTAGCTTATCAAGGCACATTAGTACCTTGTATGCAGACACCTTTTAGACTTGCGTGAAAGCTAGACCAGCATGACTTGACTTCCTTAAAATAATAACCATGTCCCAGGACAAAACAAGTTTAGATACTTAACTCCGTGCCTGAACTGTGAGGCTATCCCATAGACCTACACATGGGAGACATTAAAATGCAGCAATTCAGAATAAATGCTGCAGCCACTTTTATTACCCTAAACCTCCAACAGGAACCCGTTTCCTGTTTAGTTCCCGTGCCAAATTCCAGTAAAGCCATTTAAAAGAGACTATAACCGAACAAGCAAAAGCAACCTCATGACATCAAGAGTGAGGGACAAAGAAACACACACTCTGCTGCCCGACCTTATCCCTTGCTAACACATCTTAGACCAACTGCACTCTAAGCTCCGTGAGTAAAGCAGCTTGTCTTTGTTCACAATGTCAACACGCACCAATATTTAGACAGTACTTTGGCAGCAATACAAAATGATACAGTTTTATTGCTTCTCTTAGGATTTCTAGGTAGAGTTCTGCTATTACACTTCCTGGTGAACAGAGAAACCACGACATGTTTTACAGAGATTAAGAAATAAAGCAAGTCAAAACAAAAGATAAGTTTCCAATAATAAGAACAGTTTTGGCTTAGTTATGATCCTATGACCCTTGATTTTTCAGTCAATCTCCAAAGAGTCCAGCACCGCGTGAGGACTGTATTTACAGGAAGACTTGTGTATCACTTCAGCAAGGGAAAAAAAAAGAAATTAAACTTAAAACCAACAAAAAAATAAAAGTCCCACACAGAATGATTGAAATTTTGACAAGCACTATGGACCTCATCTTTATCCAGGATGCATGACGGATGTTTTCTTATTTGCTGAGAATTTAATTGCTATCCTAAGTCAAGGAAGAGAATGCTGGTTTTTTTCCCCCCCAAGGAAACCTGTATTTTGCATAATCCTGTGAGATCAGAACTGAGCCACTAGTTCTTTCCAGAATAACCATCTCTATATTGTATGGCCCAATTAGTTTTGCACAGAACTCTCTTTATGCAAAAATAACAGATGCATTTCAGATGCTGCACTCCTGTAAGAACTTTGGACCTTAGTCCCTGCAAATCGTCAAGAACCATCTTTCCAGAAAGTCCTTTTAATAGAAAAGGTCCTTAAAAGTTTGTCTCTCGTCAGCCTGACTCAATGCATTTACTTTTTTTGCCAGTTTTAGTATCATTCTATGGTTTTGGTCCATTTTCATTCATCCTTATCGCCATTTTTCCACAGAGTTCTCCATATCCATGAGGTGTTGTTTTCTATATAGTACAAAGACTCACAGTCTGTTTTCCTGCTTGAAAATGTGCTACAAGAAATGCAGTTATAAATTTGCTACAAAAAATCCTCCACCAAACACCACAGGCTTTAATGTCACCTCCTTTTTCTTTCACAGAGTTTGCATACATCTGCTGCTAAAATGTTGTAACAAGGGAAAAGACTTCACACGTTATTTCTATCCACTGGAAGTAGCACTCAGATTTAGAACCAAAAAGTCTTTCCCCTTTCCCCAAGCCCGTAGGTTCACCTTGCTTTGAATGACTGAAAGGGACCTCTCTCAGGTTGGGTGGGTACGTGACATACCATCCTCTGTTCAGCACTGGAAGGTTGGATATTAGAGAATTGCTGCTACTGTTCCCTTTTATGTTTCAGTCTCTTCTTGACATCGCAGTAAAGAAAAACGAAAACATAGGTCAGGCATTGCAAACAAGTCCCTCTGCTTTCCAATTCTCAAAAGCTGAAACGCACCAGAAGCCAGATGTTCTGCCTGAACCAAGCCTCCACAACCTGCCTTGAAAGGTCTTTATGACTGTCTCACTACACACCACAAAGCAGTAATCCTCACTTTAAGACATGGCCTTCCATGTTTTTGTCCTCTAAACTGCAAGAGATGATATAACTCTGCATTTATAAATTCACGTAACCGTTTCCTTCACAAGAGACTAAGATTATTATTGCTAAAACCCATGGCATGTTATAATAAAGTAGGCGGTGTGGATGTTCTGAAATTTATTTTACTAAAATATGCCTTTTCGACTACTAATTATAATGATAATGTTCTTTTTTTTGCCCTTGTATAATGCGAAGATTAGTCATGACAGGTGTGTTTTTCCTCCACAGAAAGCAAAGGAAATCCATACCCTAATTAATATAATAAGAAGATAATTACTATGCTTAAGTGATGAGGACTCAGGCAGCTCTGTTGACAAGCTATTTATTTCTCTTTCTTTTCATTCAGTTTGTCTACAAGAACTTTTTAGATATGCATAGCTCTTCATGCCACTTAACAAAATAATGCAGTACACCGGGGGATACGCAACTACCACAACAAACAGGGAGAAAACTCATTAAATAGGTCTTTGTACTCGCAGAAGGGAGGCAAGTTTTTTTCTTCTTTCAAATTTTTTTCTCTCGCACCCTCTTAATCTCTCGATCTCTGAAGTCTTCTAAGCCTTCACAAAAGCATTTTCTAGACATTTTACTGGGCTCAAACTTAGGTCTTACTAACACTTAACCTCAGTTTCTCTGTACAAGTTGAGGAATACACTTTTTTTTGCCAGCCAACAAACGAGGATGGACAGCCCTGGAAGTTCTTAACCGAACACCCTTGCTGTAGGTGCTGCTATTTGCAGCGAGCAGTTCACTTTCATAAATACAGAATGCTTCTACAGAGAACTAAAAGATGTTGACCAAAAGAGTCTTGTCAGCATTGTCTTGGCAATTCCCTATGATAGGTTTAATAGCACCACTGACCAGCTAGAGATTAACTTAGGGGTGTTTTTTGTCACTGCATGCACTGTTTCACTTTGTTAGGCAGTTTGAAGAAACAGTAAAAATCTTCCACGCTTGACTCGTGTTCTTTGTCATTCTCCAAGCTATTGATTACTAACTAGGAGTCATTCTGAATTATCACATGCACAATTAAGTGGTTATTCCAAGTTTTCACTATTAAACAATAATCAAGAAACACATTTCTCTCAATTTCCATTTTTATAAAATTAATCAGACATCTACAAAAATATGCATTTTTTTGAAAAAAATTACCATTACAAAAAGCAACATGATATTTTTATCTCCTGTTGAATCCATATGATATAGTCATTACACAGAGAAGATGAAACCCTATGGAATTTACTATGAAAATTTGTAATTTTTTTCACCATTTTAATTTCTAATACTGAGGAAACGTTGGGTCAATTTTACTGGCCCAAGCCATGAGCCCCCCTTTAATATCCTTAGCTAACACAGAACCAAGTTCTTTGACAGGTAACTCCTGCAGAATTCTTACAGCCTTCTGGGAGTCATTTCCCAGTTTGCAAACAACATATACAGGAAAAGATGTCTGGCCATTAGTTCTCTGCTTTTCTTCACAAATTCTTTTTTCTAAATTTTCCAGATATCCTTCATCTTTTTCTTCTAATTTACTCAAAGGAATGTGGACAGCATGTCCCAGGCGACAGATATCCACTTCTACCTGTGGACGAACATCTAACAATACATGAGGAACTTGCTCATCCAACAGTTTTTTGTATTCCTCTACAGATACCCTGTCTTTACTGGGCAGCAGATGTAAAGTCCTACACTTGTCTGTTGCAGAAGAACCACAAAATGCCTCATAATCCTGAAGGCAGGTGACAGACGGATTGTCACCACAAACAGCACAGTCCGGTTTCTTTGGTCTTAACTTGATGTTGCGAAATCTCCCTTCACGGGCATCGAACATCAGCATGAACTGACCGAAGGACGAACCCATTCCCGAGGCGATCTTCAGCACTTCCAAGGCCTGGATGCACCCCATGATGCCCGGCACGACACCCAGCACTCCCCCGTCCGCACAGTTAGTCACCGTCTCTGGTGGAGGGGGCTTGGGGAAGAGACACCTGTAGCAGGGCCCTCCCTGGTAGTTGTACACGACTAGCTGCCCCTCCAGCCGGAGGGCGCTGCCGGACACTAGGGGCTTCCCAGCCAGGACACAGGCGTCATTCACCAAGTACCTGGTGGGGACGTTGTCGGAGCAGTCGGCGATGATGTCGTACTGCCGCACCAGCTCCAGGGCTGTGCGAGGGCTCAGGGCGCCGCAGTAGGGCACG